AGGTGCATTCTGCCTCTGATTCACACAGAGAATCAGAGGTCACAGTGGGGGAAATACAGCTACTTTTTTTGCAACAAGCCATTCAAAATGTCTTGTTGGACTCTGGCATAGAGAGGATCTTTGTCTTAAAGCTGATAACCCACCACCATCATTTATTGATTTATTGTGTGCTCACTTTGTGTTCATCCAAGTAATTACCCCATAAGGTAGGTAGTACGATTATTCCCATTTTTTTGGATAAACAGACGTAAGGAGAGAAAGTAAGGCCTGCAGGCTGCAGAGCTAAGCCACCTGTCTACAGTCTGGGCCTTAAGCACCAAGCAGCATTTAGCCTATTGCTGCTGTGCTGGTCTCTGTTAATTTAGGGTTTTGAGCTCTCAGCGGAGAGCTGCTCGTTCCCGCAAACACCCAGGATTCGGTGTGCACTCTCCACCTCCAGTGAGGTCTGGCTCCAGCGGTGCAGCAGCGCCTGGAAGCGCACCGGTCCCCATGGGCCCCGGCCATTCCCATTCCCGTTCCATTCTCAGAGAACACTGCTGTTTGCCGCTGGAGAGGGACATGCATATCCTTCACTCTGTCCCTTGCTTCCCTACCCCCGCCTTTGTCTAGTCTTGTCCGGTACTTTTAAAGTCTTTAAAAGTAACCGTTACCAAAAAAGTCACAATGTCTCAAAATACCTCATGGAGGAGTACTCAAAGCTGTAGAACCAGTAGCATGTCAAGGGTTTCCAAACATCTTTGAATTGCTTTTGAGAAATTAAAAATTTAAACATCTAAAACATTTTGAGTTTCAGAATTCACTGTAGCATCTAAGGGACACACGTAGGCCCGGCCGCCGAGACGCAGAGGTCTGAGCGGCCTCCGAGGTGCGGCCCCCGCGGCCTTCCCTCCCCGCGTGGGTTCCGAGGGCAGGTACCACCCGCACGGAGCCGCCCTGTGGCACAGGCCCTGCCGCTGTCAAGGGAAACTGAGGACCAAACTGTCAACAACCCCAGTTCCTGCCAAACCCCACTTCCCGCCTACCAGCCAGGACTCTAGAAATGCATTTCGGAATTTTGACTTCCGGCTTTGACTGAACGTGAAATTCTACGGTGTATATACGGGCTTGATAAGCTTCTCCAGCTTAGGGACAACTCTGATGGATTTTGTCTGATGAGATTCAGAATCCATTTCTAGGAGAGGTAATGACCAGGCCCTTAAAAGCACTGAAGGGAACTGCCTCTCCCCTTCAGCCTCCAGCCGAAGGTCTCCATTCCGAAGCTCCAGCACAGGCGGTCCACAGAGCTTCGAACTATTACAGGATTAGGAGCAAAACCTTTGCTGGGCGTTTCGGGGGCCACCAGGCCGCCACAGGCCGCAGACCCTGGGGCCCTGGGCGAGCACCACTGTGGGGCCGTCAAGAGTGGCACCATCAAGTATGAGTTATGAACTGAGGGTCGCTAACTGCCGCCTGCCACCTATGCCCACATTTTACTACTTTGGATCCAGTGTTTCAAAAGTGAAAGTATTCAGTCTTGGCAGAACCGCATTAAATTGTACCATCATTAGCGGTAATAAGTCTTTGTACTATGACGCCAGATACCAGCTTGAATCCTGGGGTCAGGACAAGGTCCTTACTATTAGCCTTCATTAAAAAAACACAAACCTTCAAGTAGAATATATTTTTCACATTTACTTTTGGCACGCACAGCACCTACGACGCACAGTCTGAAGAACACCCGCAGACCGCAGTGCCACAGGGGGCGGGGTGTGGCGTCTCCCTTTGAAGGTGGGTGGGGGCTCTGGAGGCTGTTCAAGGCTTTCCTGAGGGAGCGCCTGGCCTGTGACCAGTGACGCAAAGGATGAAATGTGCCTTTTCCCTGGAGTCAGTTTTCTGGTGACTGTTTAGCTTCCATAGTATTAGTAGCTAATGTATTTACGCCTGATGGCAAAATAGACTGTGGAAACAAACTTACACTTTGTTATTTATCTTACTGCGTCTCATCAGCCCCTTCTGAGTTCTTTTACTAAAGGCAGCTGAGCAGACAGCACAAGCCCATCTTCCTACCTATGACCATGGGCATGTCTAGCTAGTACCCAGGCTGCCTCACCTTTTGGTGCGCTCCCAGGAGACAGAAGACAAACACTGAATCCTCCTCAGCCTGACTCATCACTGAAGGGGAAGGCCAGACCCCCCCAGGCAGGCAGTCCTGTCACACATTCCTGACGCTGTCAAAAGCTTCAGAACATTCAGTTTGAAATGTATTTAAGGTTAGACAAAATACAGTCATGTACAAAAATGCACATAACATTTTTTCATTGTCTATATTTTTAAAAAGGACAATTCAAATTTCAAATGCTTTCTGCTTACATGTCATGTAAACATTGTCCTGGCCCCATTTCATTTACTAAAATTGTATTCACTCTTTTAAATTTTTTTGACTGGGGAGGTGCTTTTGGATGGAGAATTAGGTCTGCCAAAACGATTTCTTGAGCTACACACCTGACCAGGATTGGCTGGACTGCAGGCAAAATGAGATTCTCTAGAGACATAATGGCAGCTTCATAGCAATGTGAGTTGTGGATGTACATGGTTCATTTTACCTAATGTCTGTGCAAATCAGTATGCAATCTCAGCCTGTCTACGCACACCTACTACAAGGGGTCACGGTGGAAGAATGCGGGGTGCCCACAGGAGCACAGTCTCCCGTCGGGAAAGTGGTAGAATCGACAATGCGCTACCAACACACGCAGCACTCTTACTGGGAGTCAGCCACGTTGGCCGCCCTGTCTTTGGACAAAATACGCGCTTCAGTACATTTGGAGGGCGAAGTGGGAGAAAAAAAAGGAGTACAGAAAGGAAGGCACATTCTGTTTTTTCTGCAACCCATGGGCTTCAGAGGACACACTGCTCCAACACCGTACTCCTTGTTGATTTACCCACGTGGATACTGGACAAGGACACAAAGGCCGTGCCCATCTTGGCGTGGAAGCCGCCCCTGCACCCTACGGGGCAGAAGTCCAGAAGCAGTGTGTCAGGGAGAGCCCTTGTGGAAGCAAAGTAGAATTTAGACTACCATCAGCAGCTCACAGTTATGGCATTCAATTATTAAAGTGAAAGGTGTTACCCTTAGAGAAATGGCATCTTCGTTATCAGATTAGAAACACTAAAAAAACCTAATCAACAAATGTTAAAGTTTGATTTTCCTTAGAAATCTGCGATCAGTTCTAGATCCTGGGCCCAATTCTGTCTACTGAGAACCAGGCAGCTCCAGAAAGAACCAAATTAATTGGCACCAGGGCAAACCCTTGATTCTCATAATAACTGTAAATATTTCCTGTACAAGGAATTCCAAATTCAGCCACAGGAACAAATGCTCAGCCCTCAGGGGCTCTGAGATTGCTGGCCTCCGGACATCTCGGTGCCACCTTTAGGACACGAGCAGAGCCCTGATGCATTTGTCCTGGGCTAGGAGTGCCAGAGCTGGGAGCAAACACCCACTGCAACAGCCTCTTCGGCCACCTACCACCATGCAACGTTGCGTCAGAATGAAACAGAGCAAAAATCACACCGATGTTACAGATGGAGACACCGCCGCTCTCGGCCTTGGTGATGCTAATTCTGGCTGCAGACTGGTAACCCAAGGAAAGAAATCTAACTTGATTTGGCCTTTCATGGAAATTTTCTCTGAATTAGAGACCACAGGCTGGGCCGGCTTTCTCGCAGCTCAAGACAAACTTCGGCTGTCTCGAAAATGTCTAAGCAGGCCCTTCACGCTAAACCTTGTGCATTCATGACTGAAAAGTGAGATCTGAACTAAATGATTCAAAGATGAAATGCAGTAATGATACCATACTTCATATAAACATCTATTTCAATGTTTATTCCAGAGTAAGCACAATAAAAGCAAATTCTTGTAAAAATTATAAGCCTCTTCTAGCTCTAATTCTTACAACCACACAATCAAGTTTATTCATGCTTTCCCTTTACTTATTGTTATTAAATAACCCTTGACATTAATTTTGTTGGCATGTGGTAATAAACACGAGACACATTCCCAAGAGAGCAAAGGAAAAAAACCACACAGTCCAGAGTATTCTGTGGGAAGCCAATTAAGACGCTGCCTCCAGGGCCTTGAGACCCTGGGCTGCAGAAATGGTTGCTGTGGCAACACACTCGCCTCAGCACTTCTGGCAGGCAGAGCCTGGCAGTGTGAGCAGGGCTCCCTCCGCCCAGTCTGGGTGCTGTTCTACAAAGTATATAGGGGATTAGAAATCCAAAGGAAAACACAACATTCCATACACAACTTCTTTTTAATATAACTTGGTGTTTTCTTTTATTCAATCATATAAATTTGAATGGGGTTTTCTGAATAAATCTTTTACTTAATTTACCTTTGGCAGAAGAAACAGTAGATTTCAAAACATTTAGCTTTTCATTTATATAGCTTTTCCTCTTTTTAAATTCTATAGCATGTTAGCATTTTCAAAGCAATACTCTTAAACAGATGTGCCTTTTAAAGTTAACTAGTAATGATTTATATTACAGCTTATTTAAGAATAATTACAAAGAACAGACTAGACATTTCTTTTAAAAAATACAATTTTTGGTCATATGAATGATTAATGTTCAGATTTCAAAAATAGAAAATGTCCTAAAGTGCATTTTACTTATAACTCCTTGAAATTATAGCCATCTGCAATGTAAACAGTACAGCAGAGAATACCAAACTATATTTTCATATACATTTAAATTTGTAGGATTAGGTACCATCTGTAAGTGTGTAGATTAAACCAGGGCACTTCCAACACGTGCTCCTGTGTCTACATAAACACTTTCCAGTGCAAACTTGAAGGCATCCTTTCTTACTCAGTCCCAACTTAATTTTCAACTGACAGAGCGGCCCCTCACTTCAGCAACGGAAACGCCACTATAAATACAATCTGACCAGTTTCTCAAGAACCCACTTTTGAAATTGACAACTGGCCAGCAGAATTTGGTTTTCTTTATTCTTTTTCACACACACACACACACACACACACACACACACACACACACACACACACAATGGTACGACACAGAGGTGGGCGTCCTGATCACCTGCAACATGGTCTTCAGTAGGCAGGGTGGGCAGAACGCCTTCTCCTGGCAAGCGGTGCCCGTGCGCGGGAAGCGCGAGGGCGGGCATAGGACGCACAGGCAGGCCGAGCCCACTGTCCCCCGGGGCAGACATAAAAAGTTAAAAACTAATGACGATCACAAATCACCAAGTGAGTCAGCACACTGAAGAGATGAATGATTTAGGGTCCTAAGTTCCCTGGTCCCTCCAACACGTCTAATATAGACAGCTTTGCGACATGGCCTCTGGAAAAATTATGATCATAAATGGCTACACACCATTGTTTGCTCTCTTCATACATGACCTTGAGAATATTGTGATTTAGATTATGCCTCGGGCTGAGCTCCAAGGCCTACGTTCATCCCTCAGTGAGGGGATTTTAGTGCAGATTTACTTAAGAAAAAAAATTAAAGTCTGGTAAGTTCTCAGATGGCTGAGAACACAGGTTCTCTCTTTTTCTCCCCCTCCTTCCCCACTACACTTCAGCTAAGAATTAAGCAAAGGCGTTTACATTTGGCTAGTGTGCGATCGAAACCGAGCCCTACGCCAGCTGCTATGGCACGCTGGCCTCGGTTCCCGCCTGACATTGCACTCTGGGACTGATGAAGTACAGTTGATGTTCGGGAACAAATTCTCTAGGCTGTCCACCCTGTCACATGATTTAAAAATCAGCATTAATACAGCTCCTGCTATTTCCCCCGTCCGCTGCAGGTGATCCAGTCCTACGGGATCCCAGTTCTTTATCAGCTGAGGAAGTCTTGAAGAAACACACTGTCAAATAGATGTTTGCACTGCCATTCCGGGCAGACACAGCTTCCATGTACCTGAGAGCTGACGGGGACACAATTCACACGACTCGGAAAAGGTGCAGCTCTGTGGAAAGGTCACAGAAATGGGCAAGGCAGCAAACAGGGCTCTGAAGCGCGTTCCCACTCTGCAGGGTCCAGGGAACAGTGACCTGCACAGCAAGTTTGCTCCAGGACTTCCTGAGCGGATTTTCATTCTGGTTAGACTGAGAATGGTCTCCTGCTTCTCTGTTACCCAGGGAAGAACAGTGCATGGTCTCTGCAGATGAGTGTGTCCCAATGTAGTGCCTCATCACTGCTAGTGTTAGTAAGCGTCCACTGCAGTGTCTTCACGTGCACATGAGCACAGGAATCTTGACTTTCCCTTACAAAATTCCTAAGTCAGGACAAGCTGCCTTCTTCAGTCTAGAGCCAATTCCAAAGGCCTGTAGGCAGAAGGGCTCCATCCTTCGCAGGTGCAGCTCTAAGGCTGCCTTCCAGTTTCTGCAGAGCTGCTATTTACCAGGGGGGCACAATCACCGTGTCATCAGCCCCCCTTCACTGCAGTTGGGGCTGCCCCCTCACATGGACTTGGAATCAGTGTCTCTCTTGCTGATGAGCACCTCCAAGAGCCTCAGTTTTGCCTTTATGTGCTTATATTCGTTGTACTCTCCAGCCATAGGAGTGCGGTCTTCCTTCTGGACGTTTCTAATGGAAACAAAGGGAAAGGGGACTGAGGATCATTGGCTGTCTCCTAGAGGACACTGTTCAGCAGGTGAATTATCAGTACGTGGGGACTTTGCAGCTTATCAACCTGCAGAATCAGTGTGGCCGAGTGTGGCTTGGTGTCAAGACTGGAGCTGGGTTTGCACAGGCAGTGAAGGACGCTTCCCCCCAAAGGCACTATGCGGCTGAGCTTTTATAGTTAGTCTAGCATCCTGTAGAATGATAATGAAAGACTAAGAAATGTATAAATGTCTTCTCTCTGCTGTTGGTGTATATGACTTCACATTAAGAATCTCCATACACTGAAATCCTTTATTTACACTTAATGCTTTCTCACTTTTTATTTTACTTAATGAACCATTAAATTTCTAACTAGAAATCAGTACACCATAATTTACAGGTTTTTTAAAAAAAACAGTTAATACTTCTAACTATTATACAATCAGTCTTGGAATTCCACAATTGAATCATATAATACTAGTAAGCCTTTATAGTTTACTGAGTAATTTCACATGCATTTTATATATTCACAAGTATTAATGGAGAGCTTATTGTCAAGTCAAGCACTGTGCTAAGTGGATCTGCCTCCACGATGTGTAATTTAACCACGAGGATGACGTCAGCGCGGGTCCCATCACCCACACTACACACAGGCTGAAAGCGGTCGGAAGGCAGTCCCATTGCAAAGCCGCTGCCCGCCATCAGGCGGCGCCGTCCTGCAGCTCGTTTCACTTTGAAATGCACAGGTAAAAGACATAAGACTTCTTTTTTATTCAAGAACAAATATGGGAAAGGGAAGAGCATGGCTTTATTATTTTGTTACATAAAGTAAAAAACATATTTATTTATGTAACATATTTAGGAACATATTTATTCCTGCCCTGCCTTGTTCAAGGAGATGATTCTAGTTTGCTTCTGGGCACATCTGTGAGGGAACAGGGCAGTGAGGTGGTGGAGCTCCAGGAGTACCCTCTGAGGGCTTAACTCTCCTCAGATACGGATAATGAGGTGGACTTCATGACATCTGAAGTCTCTCACGGTTCTAAACTTCTACCGTGATTGTAAGTTCCCATCAATGATACTTTCTGAATACTTGTGAAGTTTATAGAGTTCTGTATAGCTGCTTGTGTATAGGATACCTGTACATAACATGACTATGATTATATAAAATAAAAAAATATAGACAGATGAACCAAAAATACGCCTAGAAAGAAGACTGGAATTAAAACAATAGTCCTGGTTTGTCTTGGGGGATTATTATTATTTTGGGTATGATTTTTTTATCTGCCTACCTATATTTTCTAAATCTCTTACAACACATGAAAAAAGAAAAGCAAATATTTAAAGCAAATATTCAAATATCTGAAATTAATAAATCTTGAGAAAGTCATTACAGGACAAATCCAAATCAGAGATCCTAAAAATAAGTGTATACATTAATTGTAATAAACTGGAATACAACATATTCTACATGCCAAAGTTAATTTTTATGGTCCTTTTATTTCCAAATGCTTCTGAGAAGTAGGAAAGGGAACTTACTAAGAAACAATGCTTATACTGTTTAGATAATTTGGATTAAAATAAAATCAATTGAAAATGATAAAACTTCACTCCCAAGTAAGAGATTCGAATTGTTCCCTATTCTGTCCCCTGAAGGTGCTGCGGCTTGAGCCAGAAGTTCTATGTGCAGTCACTTGTGAACAGGGGAGACTATTTCTCAGCATAATGTTACATAAGGACTCCACTGTGCCTTAAAACTCACTGGAGAAAAGTACCCTATTAATCAGCTGGATTTACTGCTTCTTGTACATTTTTCATTCTCACTTAACTATCATCTTCGTGTTTAAAATGTGCTTTAAAGTTGGTCTGAAGGTTGTAGGTTATTGGTAAGCTGATTAAAATGGGCTTCAAAACCATCAAGATTTAGAGTCCTCCAGGAAAGAGGACTTTCTTCTTCTAGTTTCTTAAGACAAAATACAAAAGCAAATCAGTGCTGTTGGCTGGAAACTTAGCTTCAAGCTGATCATTTTAGATTCAAATTTGATGTGACAGGTTAGTTTTATAAATGTTAGCTCAGTCTGCATCGGCCTTGGACACTACCCAATAATCACTTTGTCCTAAAGGACCACACAAACCCCACCAGGTCACAGCCCACCTCAAAGGGACCCTGGGCACAAACGCCAGGACACGGCTGCAGGGAGGATGCAGAGCGGGTCCCACCCAGGAGGCCTCACGCAGACCTGAGAGAAAAGAAAAAGGGTGTGTGTGCAGAGGCGAGAGGGAAGGGAGACACACGCACTACCTTCCATTTTGCCTGAAGAAATTGTCTTCAAAATCACGAAGTTTCTTTCGAATCCTTTTCTTTTCTTCTCTCATTTCCTGAAGGTGTTCCAAGAGTTCTGGTCTAAAAGGGGGGAAAAAATCAATAAAGTTGAGTTAAATCTAAGTTGTCCTAAATGTAATGAATGTGCAACTTGATAGGGGGAAGCACGTCAATGCAAAAACTATTATGGAAACTGAGGGTCAGCAGAAATGGGGGTCTTCTGTCCCCTGTTTTCAGCTGTTGTTGACAACAGCTATGGCTTCGAGGGCTCCAGCAAGGCTCCTGCTCTGCCGAATGCTTTGGGCCTGTGAAGTCCCATGGTGCTTTTCTCATATTTTGATTTGAAAGAAAGAGATGACATCTATGCTCATTGAGTATTGAATGACGAGCCATGGAGTACAGAACTACACGATGCCATTTACAGAGACCGCCGGATGTTTACGTAAGGTCTCAGATGCTCCCTCAAGTAACAGAGGATGAAGCATATAAAAAAACTGAGCCAAAGGTAAAAAAAAAATACTGTTTATCCACACAGATGCATCCCAGGTAAGTCACTTCTATTTTATCGGCCAATTTAAGTACAAAGACTAAAATAATGTTTAGGAAAGTTATTTGCATCCAACCATTTTACCACCACCACCAAAACGACATACATTGAAGCAGCATGCAGATTTGAGAGTCTGGTGTCCTGACTGCATTTTGATGGCATTTTATCATCCATCGGGGAAATAAACCCATCAGCATCATCTTCAAATTGGTTGAGAAAGCAACGGGCGCTGAAATCGGTTTTCAGAGGGACTTCGAAGTCTGGCTTTGTGTTGCCATCGTCTTCTGAACCCTCCTCTTCTTCCTGGAGATACACAGCCACCCCAGCCAAAATCCGGTTACCTTTGCTGGTATTCTTTCATTACAAGTATCGCTGAACAATCTTTTAATTATCCAGATACCGTATAGTTTCTTCTACATCTACATTTAGCAACACTTAGGTACCTTATAGCTATATTATAAAACACCTATATGTACACAGTAAATAACACAAACTATATGTGACCACTCTATAAGGGAAAAACTATAAAAAATAATTGTACATAAAAATTAACATTTAAGGCTGAGAGTATGAAGAAACAACCATCATAATTTATACCCTCAGTCAAATGAAGCAAAAGAATCTAAAAATTCCAAGCTCTGGGACAAAGTAGAACAAAAATCCACTGCCTGTAGTGTTTTCAGGAATCCATGACTTGCATTTCTCAGAAAACGTTTTTTATTAAGCTCTGAACATTCTCAGAAATTGAACCATACAGCCTTTCTATTTAAGAATTGAGATTATAGAAAATTTTGTGGTTGCCTGACACATAAAATCTAAGGAAACTTTTGAGATGATCAAAACATTTATCCTTCCATAGGGCCATGACTGTATTTTTCGGCATCCAAGAGTTCAAGAAAAATGTCATATTCTCTGTCTTGATGATAAAGTAATTAGAAAAACAACAAAGTGAAATTAGTATTTCTAAGTGTCAATTCTAAAGCTATGTAAGGAAGGAAAAATAATATCAAGTTTAAAAGAAAGATTAAAAAAATTTTTTAAGTTAAAAATGACACTTTATATTCAATGTTATTTTGTATTAGTTTCGGGTATACAGCATAGTGAAAGAAAGATTTTAAAAGAAGTAATTTACTGCCAAAATGTATAGTCAAACTAGGAGAGAATATTCTAATATCTTAAAAAGTGAAAAAAGTTATTTAGGATACAGCTACGTGAACATCAGGAAGTACAACATCAATTGTCCTAGTTAAACTGAGTGGTTTCAGGGCCAGCGCAACAAATCCACCCCGGGAGGCAGGAGGAGTTACCACTGGTGGTCCCAGTACCCGGTGCATTGCCTGTGGTGGGCTTTCTTACCGGAAAGTTTGGCATGCTTATAATAGTGACTCTGAAGAGAAATAATGGGAACAAACAAATAAACAGAAAAAACCCAAAGGACTATTGGATAACTATAATGAAAGTCCTGTTATGATGGCAGCATTGGCAAAAACTAGGTGGCTTTTTCAGATTCTCTCCAGGGTAACTTCAGATCTTTAATCTCCTTCTTGGCCAATAGAAGCAAATGCTTCACTATGAACTTGTTAAATTTTAAATTATTAAAAACATTTTTAAAGTAACAGATTAAAAGTGACTTTTAAATTAGTAATTTAAAATTTCTTTTGCAGAAGAGGAAGTAACAGTTCCCATCTACATAGTTTTAATTTTTTATTTTTATCCTCGCCTGCGAATATGCTTTGAAAGGGGAGGGGACGGCGAGAGAGAGGGAGAGAAACAACGATCAGCCCCCAACCAGGGACTGAACGTGCACCTCAGGCATGTGTTCTGAGTGGGAATTGAACCCCAGAACCTTCGGTTTACAGGATGATGTTCCAACCAACTGAGTTATACTGGCCAGGGCCACCTATACAGGTAGTTTTCCTAAGACTTAACTGAGGTAATGTTTGTTGAGTGCCCAGTCAGGTACGGCGGCACACAGGCAGAGCGCCTCAGCCTGCCACTCCCTGCCTCTCTACCCTGAATGAGGAAGACCAGATGAACCACCTGACCTACTGCAAACTCCACCGAGGCAGAGATTTGGTGGCACCTGTCAGTGCACTGCTGTCCCCGAAGCTTAGCCAATGCCCACAAACAGCAGGTACTCAATGAATGTCTGTTACACGGTCTTAGAAATTTAGCTTTAAAAGAGAAATACAAACTACTACTAAGAGTTTTAAAGCTTGAGACACTTAAGAAAGGAATTCAGGTGTGTAGGCCTTATTGATTATACCCATGGTCCTGAGAAACATAATAACTGAGAATACGTTTTGCACATAGTGATAACTCAAGGTTTTTTGAGATGAAGGCAAAAAACCCCTATTTTCAATGAGCCGAGAAAATCATAGGAAAAAATGAAGTGGAAAAATAGATCTTCAAATTTTAAGACCATCACATATCTGTGAATATTGGGTAGATTCTAAAATTAATCAATCCACAGGGAGTATGAGCAATTGATAAACAGTGATTAGCACTGGCTCCTTAAAAACCAACCATGAAAGCCAACCGTTTTCCCTTGTTGGACAGGACAGGTAGAGTATCTGGCTTTCAGTGAAGAATGAGGTGAGCTGATCTACTGCAGGAAGCTGGTTGTGGAAATCTGTGCAGAAGGACGATGTGCTGCTGGTGTGGTTCTCGAGAAAAGCCTACAGCAGGCTCTTCACCAGACTCTGCCTTAGTCATTGCTTCAGTCACTTAGATACAGACACGAAAGGCATATTCACAAACGTGGAGGGATATAAGGGTGGGGACACCTGGTGTGCTGAAACACAAAATCTAGATTTACTGTATTTGATGAGGCTGGAGCAGAAGAAGGAAAAGTAACTAACTGGGAAAATTCGAGGTCCTATAATTAGGGTAGGAAAAGAAAAGCTGGATACATAGACAATAAGCAACCCCTGGGAAAGGAAGCTGGGGTTTGCGTAAGTGGGCAGTGAGGCAGGGCCACAGTCAGTGCCTCTCAACTGGGGCGATTTGGCCCCTCAGGGGACCTTTGGAAATGTCTGGGGGTGTTTTTGGTGGGCACAGCTGGGGAGGGGGTGGTAGTGCACTGTCAGCGTCTAGTGGGCGGAGGCCAGCCCCCAAACTTTCAGGAAAAAACCTTCTGTTTTAATTTTTAATTCAATTTATTTATTTGTTTATATTTAGATATTTGTTTTTTGTATTATAAAGGACTTTTATCATTTATTTTTAAACACATGGATATTGCTATTGCTTTCTAACATTGCACTTTTAACCCATAAGCATAAATAAAAGAATTAAAAACATTTATGCAGATAAAGAATTAGTACTACCCCTGTATAATGCGCATCCATATTTTTCCTTAAAAAAGTTGGGCAGAAAAGTGTGCACTATGTGTGGCAAAATATAGGTATCTGGCCCCCAACGAGTACAGCACTGAGGTTGAACATCTTCATGACACACTGACAGTCGTGTGTCACAGACTTGGAGAACCGGAGGGCCTCACTCATCCGATCCAGGTCAGGGTGAGGCCTGCATCCTCTGCCTTGCTGGTTAAACCATGTCTAGAAGAGTGAATAGTTTTGGGTATCCGTATTTAATAAGGATATAGGTGAACTGGTGTGTACATATAGAGCAGAGCCACCAGACTGCTGAGTGGCCTGGAACCCATATCATAGGAAAAATAGTAGAAAGAACATGGAGAGAAGTTTTCACAGCATGGGAGTGGGAGTGGCAGGTCAGATGACTGCAAATACACAAAGTGATCTCCTGCAAGAGGCCCTGGGCTCATCCCATGTCATTTCAGAGGGCAAAGCTGAGTAGAAAGTAGTACACAAGTTATAATAACTATGAACATAATTTTAATTATGTTCCTTAATTATAATATAGCTATCAAACTTGTTATATATTTAAAAATTACTTATTACATAATCACATTGGATTTTACTTTATTTCCGTAAACTTGTCAGGTTAAAAGATAGAAAAATTTCTTAGGGACAGTGTCTCTATTCTGTCAGTGAAGTTTTAGAGGAAATTTTTATGTTGGATTGGAGAACAGACTAGATGACCTATAGGATTTCTGGCCTAGAAATTTAGGAAGATTTAGGCCCTCAGATCTTGAGCTGGCTTTATTTCATAAATGGCTGGTTTCTTCCCAGAAACATTCACACTAGGGATGGTTAAAGAAAAAAAAAACCACTTAGATAAAATCTTCTTACCTGCACACATACCAAATTCTAAATTGTACCAAAATTGCCAAGAATTGGCACAACCCACTATGTGCTAATAAGTATAACCAATTAGAACAAAATGAACTGAAAGCACTATTTACAAAAGCAGTGTAATCATTGCAAAATTATCTGAAATTCTGACCACCCAGTGGGCCAGTAGAAGAACAATGGCCAAAATACACACGTGAAAGAAATCAACTAAGGTAAAGAATGACATTTGGAAGAATGTCCTCTTTTAAAAAGAGCATCATTAGTATGTCTTCCATTCATTTCTTGTTTCATGAGGCAATTATTAAGTGATATATCTTGGATGTGTTAAAAACCATATTTTTTATCAAGTAAGAGTTTTATCACATGATTCTAAGAGAATACCAAGAGATTCTGAGAAATATATTAATTTTCATATACACAACTGGCCAAATTTCTTCAATTACAATGATTTGATTTTTGTGTGAAATCACCAGCTAGACAACATGCATCTTCTTTCAAGTCTTATTATAGGACAACAGCTCTAATTTTTAAGACACAATACAGCACAGTCACCTACATTCACATGTAGAACATTTTCAAAAAACAAACTCTATTTAGAATAATATGAATAGTTAACACAATCATTGATAATACCTTAAAATTAGGTGTATAAAACATATAAGACACCTGAGAGGTAAGAAAAAAAATAAAGTAAATGAAAGAGAAACCTGTGTAGCTTCTAGTACCTTACTTCGGTTATGATGACAATAGGCAAGAAAATGGAGCCGTTTTCAACTGGCCTCCCTTTGTGGGAACCAGGCTCCCATGTTCCAAAATAATCTTTCCCAACTACAGTAAATGAATGACTGACCACCCCAGGCTTGGAACTCTCACAGAACAAGGACAAGGGAAGCTCTTAAAACTCACTTCTGCTTTGGGTTTTATTCCCCCTTCCAACTTAAACAATCACTGATAAAAAAAATATTGATGTTGACTTTTCATCTCTGGAGCCCTGCATAAGGCCATCCAGTCTGATCAGTTGTCCAGAAATGAAAACACAAAAGAGGCTGATTCTAGTCCAGGCCAATTAGGTCCCTACAGAGACACGCAGATCTGTGGGCACAGATGGTACTTCCCATTCTGGCAAAAGTAGCCACTGAGAATAAGGATTATTCATATAAGATCCACAATTACCTGGGAAATAAATCTGGGAATATGTTCTAGTGACTGCTGGTCACAGCACTACATTCACGGACCAAGCAGAGGCTGTAAAATTAGTCCTGAGGACAAAGTGTGCCAGGGAAAGGGGAGAGGAAGGAAGAGTGGGTGAAACTGAACCAGCAAATCTGTCAAAGGCAACTGTGACATCTGTCTATAAAATGATAAATTTTATTGTGTGTTTTCATACTGCCTTTGTTAATTTTGGTTTTTCTATAAACTCAGGAAATGAGATTTTTAAAAAAAGTTATGCAGTGAGCTAATTTAATAAAATTTTGAAATAAAGAAAAAATGGTTCTCCAAATAGGGGAAAAATAAAACCCAAACCAAAAAGACATTGCAAAAAGAAAAGAATCACCTCTGAAAACAAATAATAACAAAGTGGGGGAATGAAATGAAAGGGAGGAAATCAGCTAACATATAATATAAATAAAAAGGGATTGTTCAAATGGGTGATGTGCAGATTTGTAGGGGATGCTACAAGAAGCCACTGGGGAAGGGCCCATCACAACCCCTTCTGTTCCCAGGAGACACAGAGGGGATGGAGGGGTTTAGCAAGAGGCGAGCGGCTGGAGGTCTTCACCTTTATCTCCTTGAAGAAGGAAGCAGTTTCACCCTCGATAATTGGCTGCAGCAAAGGGCTTCTCCGCTTGCTGGAGGGGGAACCCTGCGACAGGTGTTAACAGGAGGTTACACTGGGAGCCCTTTCCCCTTTCCCGCCAGCTCCCGGCCTTCTCTGCCCCACCAGTATTTATTACTACCGTTTAGTGATATGCTCTAATCCTCACTAACAAAAATCCTCAGGAAAAGATCTTTTCAAGTTGCTCTACTTCAGGGCCTCTCCCCTCCCCGCCTCAAGCCAAGTAGCTCACGTGAAAGCAAGAACAGCACACAAGTACATTAACCAAACACAGAGGAAAGAGTCTGAGGAGAAACACCTGTTCTCCCACTTGCTTTCCGCCCCAATCACGGTCACTGTACACCTGAACGGTAATGAGCTTGAGCTATGGTGGCGTCAGCTCATCAAGTGATGCAAGGGTTTCTGACTTCCCTGTTTGTCCATTCACCCTGCTTAGGGACACTAAGTGTTCCTAACTGAAGAACGAAAATAAGTCCTTAGAATTCATCCTAGTATTGCTTAGTTACTAATTTATTCTGCAGGCAATTTCTAGACAAGGAGCTTTCTTTGAACGTGCCTGTGAAGTTTTTGGACCGTCTCTCATTCACATGAACACGTACACTGTGAGAAGACATTTAAAGACCATAGCTTAGGCCTAGAAATAAACAAGGAGATTTAAAGCAGGACTAGAAGAGCAACCGCCAAGGTGAATGTGCACGTCAACAAGGACGTATGGGAGGCTATGTGTGCTTAACTAAAAAGCCTAGAGCCAGCAGAGGAAGGCTTCAGGTCCCTGGGGATGAGAGGGAGGCAACTGAAACAGGATCCACACTGCACTCGTGGGGTGGGGAGGGCTTGGGCAGAGCGAGCTGCATCCTGAAAGGCTTCCCCAGAGCTGAGGGCAAGTTGCTGCTCCCTGCTCTTGAGAAGATAAAAACTTGGGCCCAAAGTGGCTCAGTATGTGGATGGCGGCTTCTGAGAACACCTCCACAATCGTCATCAGCTTCCTTCCCTTTCCACCTTGCACTTCTCTTTCCTCCAGAAAGAGAGGTCCTGCTCTCGGGAGTTCCTTAGCGGATTTCCCCCTGGATATGATCCCCAGGGGCTTACCCCTCCTGGGGGGCAGAGAAGGCTGCTGCTAACAGAGGGCCCCTGGGACCAGAGGCACCCCTGGGTGTGGAGAGGCCTGGAGCAAGCACGGCCCTGCCCCCGGCGCTCTGTCGGAGGAGAGGGTGGGGGAGCCAGCCCGGCACGCGGCAGGTGGGTGCACACCTGCAGATCATGACCCCCCCAAAAGAAAAAAAATACTATCGGCTGCAGGTTTGCTCAATTTTTGACAAATGTAACTTCAGAAGTCTCTGATAAATTCTTTATTCCTCAAGCTTGTAGGCCATAGCCAGTAATGGTACATTGAATTATTAAAGCCTATTCTTTCATGAGAAAGAAGGCTAGGGCCTTATTAATAACCAGGGACTATTCAACCAGGTAATTAACAGAGAAGTAGTGAACTCACAATGATGGGTATGGTGTTGGCTCGGGACAGGATCTGTTTGACCAGCCGGTACCTGTCATACAGTGGCTTCATAACCTGGCGTTCACTTCTGGTTACCTGAAAAGCAAGAACAAGAGAGCTGAGAAGCCTGCTGCCGGTGGTCAGGCTACCAGCTGTCCCAGCATGCTCTGGGCCTAGAGAAAGTACAGATGATCCAAATGAAATCTATTATTATAAAATTTATTACAACTGATTAACTTTATTCAGTCGATGTTTAAAATATCTACTTTAGCTGTAGATAACTCTGGGTATCACTCCATTAGCAGTATTGCATTTCCTAAATCGAAACTATACCCACTACTAGTTCCCTGTCTAACAGCCCTTAAGGTTCAGATTTCCCAGACAACTGACTACTTCTGAGTGCAGGGAAGAAGAAAGCATGCATTTCTACTTATCATGCAGTTTTGTGAAAAATTTTTTTATTTTTAAACTTTTTAAAAAAGATTTCATTTATTTATCTTTAGAGGGGAAGGGAAGGAGCGAGGGAGAGAAACATCAGCGTATGGTTGCCCCTCCTGTGTCCCTTGCTGGGGACTGGCCTGCAACCCAGTCATGTGCCTTGACTGGGAATCGAAATGTGAACCTTTGGTTCACAGGCCTGTGCTCAATACACTGAGCTACACCAGCCAGGTCCTGAAAAAAATATTTTTACACGTCTGCCTCCTCCACGAAATTGTTTTGTTCTTAAGGGCTAGATTTTGGCAAACAGTAGGTGTTCAAGGAACACCTGCTGATATAATATATTGGATTGATTCATTTCTGTATACCTAAAACCTGGCATAGCACTAAACATGTTCAAGCGACTGAGTCTTTGGGCAGGGAGGAGGAATCAAGCCCAACTCCCCGGTGGAGTGTTTGACATGGTATTTCAAGTTCTCATCATCTGCAGCTTCTCCTCTGTCCCATCATGCCTCAAGCTCCAGAGACAGAGTAGGTTGTCTCATGCGTCCTTGTCTAGTTCCCTCTGCCCTGCAGTGGCTCTGGTTTGGCAAATCCAGATAAAGAGCCACCCTCTCTTCAGCCTTTTTCCAGCATCTCCCATTCTGGAAGACCTGCTCATTCTCTCCTTTGGGTCACCGACTGCATAGCTTGTAATTTTACACACCCTTTGCTATAGACTGGATGTTTGTGTCACCTGAAATTCTTATGCTGAAACCTAATTCCTGACGTAATAGTCTTAAGAGGTGGGGCCTCTGAGAGGTGATTAGGTCATGAGGGTGGGATCCCATGAATGGGGTTGGTGCCCTTATAATATCCCTGTTGCTCCTTGCCCCCTTCTGCCATCCGAGGACAGCGAGGCGACAGCTGTCTATGCACTGGAAGGGACCCTCACTGGACACCAAATCTGTTCACAGACAGAGGGTCAGCTGACACTTTGATTGTGGACTTCCCAGCCTCCAAAATTCTGAGAAACAAATTTCTGTTGCATATGAGCCACTGAGTTCTGTGGTAGTCTATCACAGATGTTCCAACAGATGATATATTTTTACACTCTTCAGTTAAACTATTTGTTGACATATCTGTCTCCTATTTAGACTATATGCCCCTTGAAAGCAGGAGTTTGTGCTTTGGTGTCCCTGGCAACCATTTCAGTGGCTGACATAAAAAGTATATTCCATAAATTTCTGCCAAATGAGTGACTGAATACGTCAAACATAATTAGTATGCCACCTCATAACTATGCATGCATTTCCCCTGCTTACTCGGATGGTGAATGAGATGGAGCATCAGTTACAAGACTGCTGCTCGTCCATCGCACACGTAGTAAGGCAAGAGTTGCAGAGGTAAGGAGGGGCGAGCAGTATTGGTTCTGACCATTTCTTTTAGCGGCCTTTTGGGCCTTCAGCTTTGAAGCAACTCTGGATTATGCATAAGTGAATTATCCTTTGTTGCCTTTCTTACTTGCCTTTCTCAAAGTGAACAACAATAAATGAACTTGGGACAAAATTCATAAGCTAGTATAGGATCCTGTCAGTATGCAATAACATTTTATGGATTTGTTTTCTACCATCAGCAATAATAACAATCAATTATCTCTATCTCTTCCTGTTATCACAGCGGAAGATGGCATTTTTCCTGCTTCTACCATACCAAAAAGAGTTTTAATATCACCGTTTCATTAAAAAATGACTGTCAAAAGTAGAAGAAAATTTGGCAATTATTTTATATTAAAAACTCCTGAAGATCAAATGGCAGGTGTTACTGCTATACGCCCACTGCAGTGGCCGAAGTGGAGGGCACCAGTGAGAATGCTGGACATGGGCACACTCACTGCCACAGAGCGTTGAGCCCGTGGGAAGCTGTTGGGAGCAAGTACTGAAACTGCACATATGACCCCATTCCATTCTAAGTACATAGCAAACCACTATGGAGGTTCACCAAAAGACACGTAAAAATGTTCACAGCACCACTATTGTAACCCCAAACTGGAAACCATCCACATGGAGAACGGATAAGGTACATTCCCCAAACTGACCACCACGCAGCAGTGTGAATGAATGAGCCACAGCTATATGCAACTTCTTGGGTTAACCCAACAAAAATAAAGCTGAGTAAAACAAACCAGATGCCAAAGAACATATATTTGTAAGATCCCACTTATATAAAGCTCAAAAATAAGCAAATCCAATCTACAGTGTTAGAAGTCAAGACAATGGCTTTCCTTGGTGGGGTGGGAGGTCTTGCTCTGATGGGAAGGGGACACGAGAGACATTCCGGGGGACGGGTGGTAACATTTTGTGTTTTGATCTGGATGCTGGTTGCCTGGAATTGTGTACTTCATGAGAATTCATCGAGACATATAATCTGTGCTCTTTTCCGAATTTATGCTATCCTTCAAGGACAGTAAAACAACATCCACAGATAAGTCTGAAGAACAGAGATGGAGTGGCTAGCACCATTTTCCAAGTTAGGTGACAGAATTTAGGACTGCACCACCTGGAACCGTCTTTTCAAAACAAGGTGCGTGCATTACGTGTGTTGCTGATAAGGTTAAGGCACATCTTAATTGTCAGCATGTGTCATGTGGTGCGACCTAATGTGCAAGATAAAGAAGAGATGGTTTGTTTGGCCAGAAGACATACTAAAAATAAAAGGGAAAAAGAGAAGAAGCCTGCATTTTCCCATTGTGAACCAGTCCCCTGTCACTAGTTGCTGGCAGAAACATCTCTGGCTTATAGAAAACAACTTGGCTGGTAAAATCAGCCAGATATGGCAAATTTGACAGAAACCAATCTCCTTTCTAAATTTTTGTTCAAAAACCCCAAATTTCTAGGTGGAGTAGATGAAGAGGGTCACTGGTTGAATTCTGTGGCTCAAGACACTGACATTTAAATGATCTATGAATTGCTCACGTTTTAAATTAATGACCTGCAGGAACTAATCACCTGCAAATGACCTAATTCAGTTTGTAACTACAGAGAGCTGAAACTCATCATGACTCCACCAAAGTTAATGATAGCCTTTGATAAAAGTATCTAAACACCAAAAATACCAAAGATCTTTACATTTGAGATGTGAAGTATACTAATACTACTTGAAATTATATTAGAATTATTTTCAAAATATATATATGAAGCCAAAGGGTTGCTCCCACTACAAGTTAATACAGGTTTCTCCCATCTGCACTTGTCAGTGCTGGGTCTTTGAGCAGAGCCGAAGGCTAATCAACAGTTACATCAACAGAGCAGGGCCTTGGCTCAGCTGTCACAAAAGGGTGGGCAGATGCTACTCGGACCATGGGAAAATTGTCTGGAGGCCACACTCTTACTCTCGGGCCATCATTCATCAGAGATTCTGCTCCTCACTAAGAATAGGCCTTTGAAAGAGCGGATGGATACTTCTGAGTCATAAAACTGCTGGCAGGAGAAGACAGATGAGATAGATTCTTATAACTGGTGCATTCTTGGCCCATGGTTTGGAAGACAGCAAGTCTCTCCTCTTCATTAGCAAGTAAGGATAGTAGGCTGACCACGCAAAGATCAGATAACCCAACACAGCAGTTAACCAGAGGAGAGTATGCATACAAGGCTTTAGAATTTGCATTTAAATTTGAACACGGTATGTTCAGTATCATGTTAATTCCCAAGGTTTTAAAACATAAGATTAAAATATACCAGCGAGGAAGAGCCCCCACCCAGAAACTCTGAGGAAGCACCCGGTCCTCTGTCCCACAACACTGCCGCCCAGCAGTGGCTGCAGCCACCTGCCGTGCTGGACTCTGTGACATCTTCTGATGAGATCCTTGCATGTTGAAAAGGACACGCTTTAGTAATAATTAGTAGGAAATACGTGCCAGTGTGTAAATGAGTGGTTTTTTTGTTTTTCGTTTTTATAAATGTCAGTCTGTTGGTACACTGCCCCATTAAAGCAAACAGCCTTAAAAAAATGTACAGAATTGTCAGATAATTGTTTTGGCTGGTGATTTGGAGGTAGTGTTCTTTTAAATCAGAATCAGTAGACTCAGCAAAAATTCATGAACTATGAGCACCTGTTTTTCTAAAAAACCTGGGGTTTGGAATGATAGTTTAGAGCTGGAAGTACGTGTATTTTTCTTTTAAGAAGAGTGTTACCCAAATGTTATTTACAGTCCAGGGTCCATGGCAACACCATGGATCTGAGAATGAAATGTTCACTCTGATTTTTAGACTGGCCAGATATCAAATGGACTCTGCTTTTTCTGAGGCTGGAGCATCATGTTCCAGGGAGAGGCAGACAGCCTGACCCGGGCCCAGGAATAAATGACATTCAAACTTCCTAGACCATTTGTTCCCTGACCCATGAGATGCTAGAATCTGACCCCAAAATGTGTTCTTCCTTCACCGGAAAGAATGATGAAGAAGGGATAATAGAAAGATAGGGCCAAAAACTAAAATTTCACATTCCTAATTATAAGAGTGCTAAAAATGTGTATTCTTTCTACTGATTTAATCACTTAAGAAATAGGCCACAATGAGCAGAACATGTAATTGTAACAGAAGTGACAACTGTCCTTTATATGGCAATTCCCTCTGCTCCCAGCAAAGACCCTATGCCCAACTTCTGCAGTGTCAGACATTCTACAGATAAACATATGTGTGTCTGTAATGTCACTCAGAATCCAGGACAACCTGTAACAGATATCTTTTACACAGGCAAAGCCTGGAGGCCCTGAGGAGTTTCCTAAGTAGCCCAAAGTGACAGGGGCTAGTCTCAGTAGAGCTGGGCTCAGAATCTAGTTGATTCTCATGCCCGCATATTGCCATGGTCCAGGCAGAATGAGTCTTTGCCCAACTCAGAGCAGCAAATACCGTGGCCTGCAACTCCCTGAACTGGCTTAAGGTTGAGTCTAGAACACAGCTGAGATCTCGGGGCCTCAGGCAAGGAAGTCTTTGAAGGAGTCTATCAATGTCACGACCTGAATCCATAAAATGAAAATAAGGAAAACATACTAGTCCCGTGTCTTTCACCCTGGACTGTCTGGTGGCCATGTCCATCAGGGGAGACTTAAAGGCTCTGAGCTTACTGTGAGAAGTTCAGTTTGATCTGTACAAGTTCTGAAAACTCCAGTACAACTTTGTCCTCCAGAAGGACGAAGTTTCACAATATATGTGAGTTCCAGTGCATTCACTATTTGGTTCAATGCCTTTAAAAATCCAAAACAAAACTTGGTTTGGAAAAAAAACTTGGCTTGAAACATGACCAATATCCCAAAGCAACAGTATTTTTCCACAGCAGAGACAGGCCAGCAAAGTCAATCATCATCAGCACCAGCTTCTTCTTTTTCAAACTTAACCCCGATAAATTCAGAACTAAAATACCATGGAAGAGGCATGCTACAGATAGTTTATTGGGCACATGCTGGGTCGGTCTGATATTACTTGCTGAGGATTAGGATCTTAAAACCTAGAATCCCTGCCCTCACAGACCTAGTGCATTGTTCTACAAGCTTCTTTACTTAAAATAGCCTATTTTAGATGAAAAGACTATCTCCACTATATAGCTATGCTGAAATTGGAAAAGAAACGCATGTTTTTTTTCTTGCTATATAAAAAACCCTTCAGTGAACATAAACTTCATGCTTTCTTTATATCTGCTCTTAAAAGTTTGTTTTACTGGGTTCTTGACAATATTCTGAACTGGTTACTGACATGGATATTTGATTATAAGTTCCTTAGGGAGGAGAGAAGCCTAACATGCTACTGTTTTTCTCCAAACTAACAACAAACATGCAATAAACACTTGCGGAATAACAAATTTCCCCAAATGCTCCTTGTTATGAAAAGGCAAAGCCATGTTTTGGATTCCTCATACTTTTGGTTCTAGATAGCAGCTGGAACTTCTCCATGGACAAACACTGGTTGCAACTGCACTGCAGAGAGACTGAGTTTAAGGGCAGGTTACTCTAGTTAAGCACATTTATTTTAGGGATAAGAATGCCTGGAGCCAGTGTCCGCTTGTGGAGGCAGACCTAGGGACAGGGGAGTCTCCGTGCTCTAGGGCTCTGTGCACCAATTTCCATCTCCCTCAGCACTCCCCCCTTGAAGCAGGACACTAGTGACTACATTTTAGGTCTAAACTAACTTTTCTTTGGAACTCAAATTTAGTTTCTACTAGGTGGTGAAACTCTTATCATGGGTTTAGCCTTCAGAAAGCTTAGTTTTTGTGAAAACATAATAATCTAAGCATCAAGGAATCTTATTTGCAAAATCCTGAACACAGAAGACCCATTTCTAAAGCTAGATGATCTACCTCAATCAGAAAGAAAATTCAGCCTGGCTGGTGTAGCTCAGTGGATTGAGCACAGGTCTGCGAACCAGAGGATCGCGGTTCAATTCCCAGTCAGGGCACATGCCTGGGTTGCAAGCCAGTTCCCTGCAGGCCATTTCCCAGCAGGGGACGCACTAGAGGCAACCATACATTGATGTTTCTCTCCCTCTCTCCTTCCCCTCTAAAGATAAATAAATAAACAAACAAATAAATAAATAAATATTAAAAAAAAAAAAAGAAAGAAAGAAAGAAAATTCAGTACATTCACGTACCGGCCGTCCATGAATGCTTTCATAATATAACAGAGCTTTTTGCAGCGCCACTTTCTCATTTGCAATCTGGTCCTTGGTCATGTCCTGAGTAAACACAAGGAAAGAGAAATGAAAAGGGGAAACATTTGTGAACATTCCAATTTCTTGTTTTTTTTTTAGTTCAATAACAAGAATAGTAAGATTAAAAAGAATCCTCACACAACAGCTCTTGCTAGCTCTATGCAAAGCTTGCTTAGGACTTAGCTATTCCTGACTCCTTGCTAGGCATAAGGAGAGCACAGCAGAATCCTCATCCACTTGCTTGCGGCAGCAAAGTCATGTTGAATGCTGAGGTAAGCAAGGCTGTGAGACACATGAGGCTTAACTTAATGGCCCAGGTGATAACCACAGTTACAGGTTACACAGTCCCAAAGGTCTGCTGAATAACAAATTGCCTCAAATGCCTCCAATAATTTTTCCACATCAGATAGTCACCAAACTGTGATTAAGCTAAACGAATTTACTTTGCAATCTGTACAAAACTTTGCTGCTTTTAATTTTAAGTCCAAAATCAAAGTAGCTACAGTTCAAACACTCTGAAGTTGTTTGATCTGTGTCTCTAGACATCTAACAGTATGGAAGATGAAGGTGCAGGAGGTTTTAAAAGGTGTTACTCCATCACTCTTCCCATTGGAGTCCATGTGGCATGTCTTATGTTTCTTATGTCTTAGGTTAACTGGAATGGTTTGGGGTTAGCAGTTAGCTTGGGGCTTTCGCCAAATCACTACACCTTAATGTCCTCAGGACGGCTGGTTTCCGCCCGCTTCTCCTGGAGCTTCCTCTGGATAGAGTCCAGTGTGGCTTCAATGCTGGGCTTTATTGCTTTGTCTACCACCTCTTGCTTCTTCTCATCCTCCCTCTCAAGTTGGGAACCAAAACTCTTGGGGAGTGTGTAGCTTCGCTGCCGCATCCTGGGGGTTAGGTCCTCTTCAGATATCTTTAGTTTGGACTCTAGTCAGAAAGATTTGGGGGTGGAGATATATGAGAATTGACGTCTGCTGAACTCAAATTGTTTTTCTATGATGTTAATAACCACTTAGCTCTGTCTTTCTTATTTTTCAGCAAGTGTCTAATTATAACATTAGTTGAAATCCCTGGGTTCTTATATGAAACCTGAGAAAATGATAACGCCTTCTTGGATTATCTGGACAGTTTCCCTAATGCTCACTCCTGAGAAAGCTTTAGTTATTTAACATCCACACTTTAGCCACGCCAACCTGTTCATAATGTGGCCGATGGGTTCCTATACTTGTTCTCTTAGTGTTTAAAGCTAGTTACCAATCTAGTGCCCAACCGCTGGTCAACCTTTTCTGAATGACTTGTATATCTCATTTTGGAATTATTTTTACTTGTATTCAATTTAGTTGTTTAAATGACTCTATCACCTAAAATTCAGCAATCTCTTTCAGGGACAGGGACCAAACCCTTTTCAGTCTTATCCTTGTGTCTCTGTCTCTTCTCACACCACAGGAAATAGGGTCTTGGATTAAACAGGTACTTAATGAGTACTAAATCAAAACCATCATCCTTATATTAGCAATTTAGGGAAATGCCACAGAATTTGCATCTTAGCTAATCTGGGTGACTCTGTGACTGGGAGCACGGGAAGACACAGAGGAGGTGTCCCCTGAATGCTTGGAGCACTGGGAAGCAGCCGTCAGGAACTTGTCTGGAATATTTTAGCAGTGGCACTTGGCGTGAGGTGAGAGCAAGGATTCTACACATGGCTAGTTTTATAGAAACCATGCCATAGGTCTAGAGCTTTACCTACCTTTAAGTTGTTTCCGGAATCTGGCAAGGTCATTTGTCCATTTCAGAACCTCCGGATTGGCAGCCTTGTCGCTGTGGGAGGGCTGAGAAAAGGAAAACTAGGGTAAATTTTTGGAATTGGGGCAGGAAAAAGGAGTGTCTGATGCTCAGTTTGTTTTAAATAGGCAAGAAACATTGAATCCTACTGGAATAAGAAATCCACCATGACCAATCAGGACAAACTTCACTAGTTTAATTCCATTATCCTTCTTTTCATCTGGTTATTTTTGATGTTTTTAAAGAATTCCTCAGAGGCAGAATGCTGGATTTTTTATGGTCACGGACATGTATGAGGCCCACGGATGGCCCCATTCCCATTATTTGTAGAGTTCAAGCTGTCAGGCTAACATAGTACAAAGCAGAGGGTATATCACATTTTACACCAGAACCACCTTGAAAAAGGCCTCCTTGCCATTGTTGTAGAAAATACTAAGGATAGAGCTGAGAGTAGAATGAGGTCAGTACTAATGAAATTTTAGAAGATAATGGTGAATTAAGTTGTAGCAAACAAAAGACCTCATTTAATGACTTTTCCCATTCTGGCTCACTGATACATTTACAAAGCACACAACAAAGTGTTTGATTTATTTGTAAGAATACACTTGTTCTAGGAGAATGCTGATATATGAAGTTTGGGGTTTATCAGCATTCACTACTCAGTTTTTACTGCCTTTCCACTTTGAGACTCCTGGAAATCTCCCGTGACCTTGATCATTTATCTCAGCTGCGGATCCAGGAGAAGCGGCACTTACTCGGTACTTCCTCTCTTCTTCAAACCTGTCTTCAAATTTTCGGATTTTCTTTTTAAGGCTCTGAATCCTCCGTGTGAGCTGGGCAGGTGTCAGATCCTCGTGTTCGTCATCGTAGGACCCCAGGGAGGAGCTCCGTCGCCTGTGAGGGACACACTGGAGTCAGCTCCCCCAGAAGGCAGCAGAAGCAATGAGGATAGACGGGGAGGGTGCAATTGGTCTCCTTGCTCTTGGATAAAAGAAATTTGACTCCTAATTGATTTTGTGATTCCAGCTCTCTATGTCTCAGCCATTAAATGGGTCTGATCTTCTCTAGTTCACACTTAGAATTCACAAAGTTAGGACTGAAATGTCTGCTGTTGACTTCAAAGTTAAATTTGAGAGAGCTTTGGAGAGGAGGTGCAAATGGAAATTTAGTATGTGATACTGCAGTTGGGCCACAGTTCAACCGAAAAACTACAATGGAGCCTGTGTCCTAGGAGCGAGAACTTTAAACATGTTTCATCACAGACTCATAACTTAATTAAGAAAAATTATTGGCCATCAGCGATACCATCCTAAAGATGATGGATATGCTTATCAGCAACAATCAGAAACACACCTCATGAAAGAATGGGAATTGGGGGGAGAAGGAGGCACTTCCGTGTCATCCAGGTATTGCCTACTCTGCCCGTAAGTGTAGAACCGAGGAGAGAGCATGGGGTCGCTGTCTTCATCCAGAAGCTGACGGATGAGGCGCCCGGCCTGTGGGGAGAGGCGTGCTTCGTCGGAGTCCATGTTCTCCTGCTGCCATGAGGGCAAAGCAGGTGTGGGCTCTGGAAAGTAATGAGGGTAAGAGGTCAACACTGTTCTTTAAAGCACAATTGTTTGCCAAGTTTCCTGAAAGTATTAGGAGACATTGAATTTAGGAGGCCCGCTATGGTTTCTCATTTTAGTTTCAAGATTCAGATTAGGGACACTATGCCCCAACCAGAATCTCCAAATTATCTAACGGCCATCATCCACCTTCTATCTCCATCCTCACTTGCTTTCAAAAGAGAATTTGCTAGGGCTGCCCCGAGGAACAGCCTTGAAGGAGGCGTGCCAATAGTGTAGGCTTCTGACTTTCCACTGCTGATTACTGACAAGAACTTGTCCACCTGAAGGTATTATGCAAAAGAAATGCTAATGAGTCAGGGAGGGAGAGACTTAGGATCACGGCTAATCATTCATTAATGTATAAAACTCCAGCTAAGGCATCACATTAATCATGTGCAAGTTTGCACCTTCCGTTGAGGTTTAGTAGGCTGTTTTGTGCTTCTGCTTAGTGTGTTGGGATGAGCACGTTTGAGATGCATGTTTTACAGTTGAAAGTTCAGAAGCTGCTCGAGTGCAGTTAAAGTAAGAAGCATATATAGCTTAGTCAAAAAGAGAGAAAAGAAGAACATCTTATATAGGACAAATCTGTATAAATTATCTCAGATAATCTTGAAAAAAAGAAATACTGAGCACAAAATCCTGATTTGTGATTTCAGGGAAGAATAGGGTGATATTTATTTCTATTTACTGCAAGACCCACTTCAATGTATTCCTTTCCTTATTAAAAAAATCCTATCTAGCATTTTAAAGATAGATTTCAGATGATGTAGGGCACTTCATTTCTAATACTCTGTACATTAACAGAAGTTATGCTTTCAATACATTTGTGGATTACTATGATTTACACAAGACTAGGATTGGCCAAGATTTTAAATTCTGAGATTCCCACAGTTTGAATCATGAAACAGTTGTTACTTCAGCTATCAAAGTATTCATAAAAGCTACAAAATTATCTTAAACAAGTGCTTATTCAGCATTTTATTTAAAAAGATCATACTCTAATCACAGAACATTAGAGCTGGTTGAACCTGCGTACATCCAATCTAATCCAGTGATTGTTCAGCTTGGCTGCACAGGGATCTCACGGGGGCATATAAGCAGCTCCCGCTATACAGGTCCTCACCCCGCCCAATCACACAGGGTTTTTAGATGAGGGCTCAGATGTACACACACACACACACACACACACACACACACACACACCAGCTGCACCAGTGATACTGAATGCAACCAGTTTTGAAAACCATTGATTCAACCCAACAGATTACAGATAAAGAAACTGAAACCCAGAGCAAATACCTCATCAATGACAACGGCTGAGACTAGAAACTAAATCTCCTGACTCTAGGACAGTGCTTTAATTTAGAATGTGCCAGGTGCTTCAATAACAAGACTATCTGGGATTTTTAAAGACCCCACTGTGTAGCAAGAGATATAAGCACATTAATAGAAAAAAAATAACCTCATGTGGAATGAGGTCCATAGGCGCTCAAGATTAAAAGAGACTCAAATTATCTGGGAACACAAATAATAATATAAATACTTTGAAAACAATGAAAGCAGCGTTGAAGACAGACTCTTGCCTACTGAGTCTCAAAAAGTGGCAGAGAAAGTGCTGGCACCTTGATCTGGCTGCACCTGGAGATGCACGCGCAGGGGTCGCCTCATCATCCGTAGGAGCTATCTGCAGCTCCTCCTCAGTGTCAGGGCTCAGAGACGAGCGGCTCAGAACGGCCGACAGAAGAGTAAAAAATGGATGGCGAAGGCAGGGGCGGAGAGGGAGAGTGGAAAGTTATCCCTAAAAAATGGTAAAGACGTAGTGTTAAGCTGCAGTAAATGGAACTTTTAAGCACCAGACTGCATCTTTTATTTCGTGATATTTCATACAACAGCAGTAGTTTTCCACGAGGACTAAAGTCAATGGAGCCAGGACAGCGAAAGGGTTAAGGTGGTTTGAACAGAAATGCAGCAGGCAATAACCTCACTTCAGAGGGGCAAAGGAGCAGAACGGCCAGCGGGGAGGGCAGGGTGGCTTATCGGGACAGCCGGCAGCGACAAACAGTCTGGTGTTGACATTGGCATGAGAGTGGGCTGGCTAGTTTGACATTTCTACTCAGCAAAACTTAATTTGAAAACACTAAGATCCTGGAGCCCTTTTTTTAAAAAAAATTCTTTATTTATTTATCTTTAGAGGGGAAGGGAAGGAGAGAGGGAGAGAAACATCAGCGTATGGTTTTCTCTCATGCGTCCCCTGCTGGGAACTGGCCTGCAACCCAGGCATGTGCCCTGACTGGGAATCGAACCGCGATTCTCTGGTTCGCAGGCCTGTGCTCAATCCACAGAGCTACTCCAGCCAGGGCCCTGGAGCCCTTTAAATTGTTCAAATCTAGCAGAGTATCTCTTTAAAAATATCACAACTAATCTTTGAATTTTTCTACTGTGCCATCTGTTTCCAAGATGAGTGCATGTGACCGTTCACCAAACACGTCTCCCGTAATAGATATATTGTGATCCTGAATTAACCATAAAATATTAATCACAGAACATAGCCATGGCTGTTTGATGCTTTGCAGCTCCCACGGGACCTCAAGTCTTACTCCTTTGGTTAGCACAGCTGTGTTCTGTGGCTCTGCCTTCCTCTGACCACTTCACCGACAGGAACCTCAAATGTGTCACTTTCCTGGTGCCACAGTGGGCTGTGTGAAATGGACAGCTAAAGGAGTTCTAGCTTATGGGTGACATTTCCTCTCACAGCATAGAGTTAGCATGGATGAATTCACTTATTTAAAACATGAGAAATGGAAAACCATTATGTATTTCAATCTTAACAAAATAAAAATACATTTTATCATTACTTTTCATGTAGAACAGAGATGAAGTTTCTGACCTATGCAACATGAAATGCTTAAGATTTCTCCTTTTTCTCTGTTTACTTTTACCCTATACAGTTTTACAACTTAAGGCTCCCATTCAAAAGTTATGAAATTACAGGTAATGCATAGTTCAATATAACTGAAGAATCAATAAAACCCACTATTTATGTTTTACTCTGAAATGATCTAAAAACACAAGGCTGTCTCGTGTTTTGACAGTTGGCACTCAAATATAAAAACGAGAAAGAAGCGGAAGAACCATGTGGTGCACGGCGCTACCCCCAGTCACATTACCTGCAGAGATAGTCAGTTTTGAGGATGCATTCACTGACAATCCCCAGTCACTGGTCTGGGAAACATTTTATATTTTAACCAGTAATTCTTGAGAAACAAAACAGACAAGGATATTGTAAAAAATTTTTAAGAGATAATAGAAAAGATGTGAGGCTTCAAATTGTGTTTCCTTTATAAAGAACCACATAAAATAAACGTGTTTTCCTATTTAGACCAGAATTTCCTGGGTGCAATGATTTTGATTTTAGCCATGTGTCTTGTCGAAAAGAGCTCTGCACATAAGTATGGCACGTCTCTCTACTAAAAATTAACCTGCCCAGGCCAGCTGACATCGCAGCAGGCCAGAGACAACACAGGGAAAGGCTGTGTGCTTGCTACCTGAACAATAAAGAAGAGCAGATCTCGGGGGAATTCCAGTTCAGACGGTACAGCACACGTGGAAATAAAGGGGATTCATGGCAGAAAGAGGGGACAGAGCTGGGACTAATGCCGATGTGGTCATTGGGACACAGCTACTGTCTGCTCAGCCAGCTGGATCCATTCACTTTACTACAGAAAACTGGCTACTGAGATGACTTATTTCTACAAAATCTGCACAGAATTAAGGGAGCTGAAGTTTTCCACATCTAATTTCCAACTCCATGTCACTTAGAGCCATCATTACTTGCCATAACGTCATCATGCTGGGTTCAAGTGCTCAGAGCTGCTGCACAGCCCACGTGGAGATGTCTTTACTGAGGGGACACTGTCACCACAGTGTTTTCTGGTGTTCCAAAATTCAATTTTAGAACATTGGTAGTCTTATTAAATTGTTCAATAGTCTTGCATGCTGTCAGCGTTAGAAGGAACCTTATTTGTCAACTTTATCAATCCAAATTTAACCCTTCAATTTCATATATCTGCACTGCCCCTATTTACCAGTTTAGTTAGCAGGCCTGCAATAGCCTCATTTAAGTAATTAATAAGTGTGTGAACCAGGACAGGGCTGAGGACTTGCTGACTTTGACCCATCCATCTGCACATTTAAATAGAGCTGCTTCACCAGTTACTCACTCATCCTCCGCTCTGCCTGCCTGTCTCGCATCCCTTCCACATCCCTGCCAAGGCTGTTACCCCTGCCCGCTTCCCTAACCCAGAGTGGGGGAGACAATAAGAAAGGAAGAAAGAGAGAAAGAGAGAGAGAGACAAGAGAGAGAGAGTGGCATGATTAGCCCTTGGTGAATCCGTGGGGGACCGACCTAGTAATTACTGACGGCCATGCTCAGAGCCATCCATAGTCATTACATAGAAACGGGCTCCAGTTTCCAAAGGGGCAAACTTGGGCTGTTTTTCCTGGAACTGTACTTGGAAACATTTATGGAAGATAGTACTAACATCAACTAACATTTACATAGTGATTTCTATGTGCCTGCACTGTGCGTATATTAGTTCACTTAATCCTTGCAACAAACTTACTTAGCAGATACCACTATATCTATTATTTATTATTTTTTCTTTTTAAAATGTTTTATTGATTATGCCATTACAGTTGACTGCATACCTATTTAAAGACGGTAAGTTGAGGCCAAAACTGAGACATTTTTACTAACGATGTTGGTTAAGTAGTGAAGCCAGGATTTGAACCCAGGATGAGTCTGGGGCTCTTAACCTTCATTGTCCACTGCCTGTTGGGATACCTAACTAGCACTGCTTAGAAAGAGGCATCCAGAGAGAAATGGGGAGACTCTGTTGTCTTGAATCATCATTTTGCCTCTTTTGGTCTCAGTTTTCTTACATGTATAATGGGAAGATCTTTAAGATTCCTTGCTTCTTCTCTATCATTCTTTTACAGAATTCTCTTTCCAAAGTTGCTTTCAATAAGCAGGAAGTGATGAATAAGATATATGAAATGTTTTATGCCCTTTAAAAATGATCCTTTTTAAATTTATTCATACAGTAGAGGAGAGAGGAGAGAAAGAAACACTAAAACACACTGATTTGTTGTTCCACTTATTTATGCATCATTGGTTGATACTTATATGTACCCTGACCAGGGATTGAACCTGCAAACTTGGTGTATTGGGATGATGCTCTAACCAACTGAGCTACCCAGCCAGGGCCTAAAAAATGTTCTTTTAAAATTAATTTTACCAGGACAAATCTAACAGAGTGGCTTACTGTTTAGGTCTCAGTTCTTCCACAAATGGATTCCCCCAAATCCACACGAATTGGTTGATAAAGAACACTCCAATTATGCAACTTTGATGGGCTTCAAATAAAGGATAGTACATTTGATTTATTTTTTTAAATCTGGAGAGTGGAAATAATAATAGCAATAGTGGTGGTGGTGATGGTGATGGTGGTGAGTGGGCAGTCAAATAATGTGCTAATCTAATACGGAGCTACCTGTGGGTAGGCATGTAGTACTCATCCGCCAACAAGCCTGATTAGACTCTGATCCTACATTCACTTTGAGAGGGTCCAACTCTAGGTAGCCTATGGCTCCGCCCATTCGTTTCATTTCGCTTTCTGTTTCCCTGGTCCAACGTGTCCTAGAAACCAGAGCATGCCAGCTCCACGAGGGAGCACACAGCACATGGCACCAGTGGGCGCCCAGTGAGCCTGTCCCCCCCATACTCTCCAATCCACTGGAGTGAGGGGTGTGAATTATGATGTGGGGACAGGAACGAACAAGCAAACCAAAAAACGGGGGTCACTCAAGGGTGGCTTGGAGACTGGTGGTGGGGTCCTGCAGGGGAATGTTGGTGTGCTGGTTCTGACAGCTGTCACTTCCATTTACACACCAGTCGGTCGCACTGATTTCGCATTCATGGTTTACACTGGTGCAAAGTGTGCTCCTTACTGCAAAGTCGCATTTTGTTTGCTTCACACTGAAGCTAAAAAAAAGATATTTTAATGATTGGATTTATTGCTCTCACTTTACTTCATGTAAAAATTTCTTTATTGTGACTATACGTACAGCTATGTTACTGCTATAATGTAATTTGGAATTTAAAATAAATACATGATAAAAAGGGCCACTGAAAGCAGTAGCCAAATGATCAAAATAACCTTGAAGTGAACCTATGTAGGTTTTTAAGATATGTAAGTTCAATGACAAATGTAGTGTTAAAGCATGTCATTTGATAAATTACATGGATAAGACAATTTACATTGACAGGTCTATTGAAATGTATTTTTCCCCAGCAAGGTTTTTCTTTATTCCATTTGGTTTCCCAATACAAAACAAAATTTTGGTGCCCTCATGTTACTATTATTTATCTGGAATAAAGTTCTATATACTAAGTAATTAAATAGTTTTAAGGAAACTGTAAGTTAACTTTCAACCACTCTGGAGAAAATTTTTAGCCTTTTTAACTGTTTTGAGAAAGATTACAAACTTATAATTAAACAAGATAAACATAATCAAAGTTAATTTTAGGAGGAGGAATCTACATTCCTTTTATACAGACTAAATAATCAAGATAATGGAGCTAATTTGAATTCTGACCAAAAATCCTACTTTTTATCTAGAGCTTTATGTTAGCTCACACATTACGAGACTATTTTTGAAACCCAAACACAGCATTTGTTTTGACTCCTGCTTTTTTCCTTTTATTTGGGGAACAGTGACTACTACGGTGCTGTATTTCTGAGGAGAGGAGATGTTTCTAATGTATGAATTAAAAACAGACTTGATTATTTCAAACTACACAAAAGAAGAACAGATCACTACCAGCAATGTATTAAAACAAAAAAAAACCCCTTCATTCCCCCCACCCCAAATCTATCGTGATCTGGGAAGATCTGACAAAATCTCAGCCCCACTGCCTAAGTACATGAGAAGAACTAGTACATGTGGAACTTAGACTAAAAAAAGAGGACAAATTGGAGTAAAAAACAGCTTTCCCTTCTCTAAGCCCTGGGTGCCAGGAATTGCTATTTTTCACCTAGTGGTCTTTTTAGATCATCTTTTGGTCCCTCACCTAATATCATTACCATAATGAGCACTTTTTGGTTAAAAAAAGGGGGGGGGGAGAGAAAACAAGGAAATCAAGGCACTTTTGAAGAAGACCGCGTTTTCATAGTCGTGATTCTCTGCTAAGTCATTGTGTTAAGCATGCTGAGGTTCTGAATCAGGAGCACGATTTCTCCCTCTCCACAGCCTTCAAATACACACTGCAGAGAGGCAGATGGGCGTTTATTTTGGACACATAGCGACGTGTGTGGATGCGGACACATGGATAGGGAAAGAACAGCAGCTTGGTGAAACTGTTCCAGCACCCTTCCTGAAATACGGCTTTGACATGATGAGGATACCCTCTTCTTCCTTACAAGTACATTTCTAGTGTTTTCACTAAAAATCTCTAGAAAAAACAATCTCAAACATCGTATCACAGGCATTCAATTAGAAGCACTTTTATTCAGTCTTCTCTTTAATAAGCAAATCCCTTATGTTTACTAACCTGCATTTGAAAAAGTCTATCCATAAAAACAAACACAGAAGCAAAGCAAACCAAAAAAGCTCTGAAAAATGGGAAGGAGATTTAATGAAGAAGGTCAATGGCTGGTGTGTAGTTGGGGGAAGATCGGTTATACTGAGGTGGAATCCTGAATGCATACGAATTCCTTAAGACCCTGCTTGGTACTGCTAGAGAGAAAAGGCATACACGCAGCAGCACTCCTGGTGAATTACAAAGAAAAAAAGGGACTGCAAGGTGACACTATGATAAAGGGCAAGCGCATTTTCTTTCTCAGACTGCAATTACTCTCGGCAGCACTTAACATGACACATCGCTATGCCAGGGAAAGGATTTTCGGTCGTTTAGAAATGTAATTACTTCTGCAATCATAGCTGTCACTCTCCCCCACACACGAGTGCACTTACATGCCTCTCATCTATGCTAATTTATACAAGCGCTTCCATGATTAAATCATCCAAGTGTCGGACGATCCTACCTGTCCAGCTTTTCTCATCGCACAATGCGGTCAGGTCCAGCTGGGGAACTTCCGGGACAAAGCTCTCCTGCTGGGCGTCGGCATCTGGAGTCCTCTGCAGTTTGGTGTCAGGTATGCTGGGGTGCTCCTGGATCTTCATTGTGGGGCTCTGCAACAACAGCACAATGTCTCCAAATATCTACTGCTCACCAAAACCCAAAAATGTCTGCAGCAATTCCACTCTGTCCGGATGAAACCTCCCAAGCCAGAGCTGCTGATGTACCCAGCACAGAAATCTAAATCATAGCCTGAGGCCCCCTGGACAGTAGCTGGCCACTTGCGTGCACAAAGCGACAGTCCATCTGCACTCCTTTAACTTTTCTTCGGTGAGAAAATGATTTCTGAGGGCTGCTCCTCCTGACAACTGCAGGCAGCTGACAGTCTTGATGATTACTGATTGGGGCCAGGAATGAGGGAAGGCAGTTTGTGTTTCCTTAAAGGAGCATGGCTCTCCAGACTGTAAACAACAGCCATCCGCTCCTGCCGCTGTGGAAGCAACATGGTGTCCTCTGAACGCAGACTTCTTTGCCCCTTGGGTAAACAGTCCCGCAAGGCCAGGAGCAGAGAGGCTGTGGACGCGCGAGCTCCTGCTGGCCCTACAGACTGAGATCAATTAAGCGGAGCTCACTTGCACATTCCCAGATTTCCTGTGGTTGTTTTCTCCCTAAATTCGGGGAGAACAGACTATTTATGGAGGAGCTCTGGGTATTAAAGCATTGTTGCGCAAATTTAAACAGCACAGAGGTTTGGCATCTCATCTCAGCCAGCAGTAAGAAATACAGACTCTGGAAATAAGCCAGAATTACACAGGGAGCACAACTTATTTTTTATTTTTTACATTAAAAGCCAAGAGATGGCAAGTCAGTGATGCATAATTTATATCTAACAAATATGCAACTCGCACTTGTTTCCCTTCATCTACTCTGAGTATTAAATTCTCAGCTACGCATGGTTGTGCTCACTGGTGGCAACTATACACCAGGCTAAGATATGAAAACCCTCCCCCAAAGGCTGCTATTTTAGCTAAGTGATTTTATATTCTAAAAATTGCAGTGAAATTAATTTTTACCTTGATCTTTTGATATCTTGTAAACTCAAACACTGTCACTCTCCCCTCTTTCATAACCTTATAAACAAAAGTGTTTGCTCAAATCTATTTCTCAAGTAGCACTTACCTGTACCAAAGTTTTTCTTTGAGATTTACTGGAAATTTATTTTAGCAAATATACCATCATTAAATGGAAAAGAAAAAAAATCGGGAAGTCATAAATGATTCCATAATGAGAAACAATCTTATGCTTAAAATAAAGCACTACTAAGATTCCTAGCTACTTTCACTAGCTATTCAACCCACTTTAATATCCCCAGGGGAATCCACAGGGCTTTTACTATTACGGTTCCATGAAATGATGTACAAAGAACTGGCATTTCTTCGCATTCTGGATAAAATGAAGTATCATCAATCAGTTCATGATGAGCTACCAAAGTCAGACAGGAATGCCAAGCAAACCTGAGACTTCAAGGCATTTTAAACATGCTGTTTGTCTACTGGAGGGAGGAAAAATCTGAGAGTATGCATTTTATACTACAAAAATTATTTGTTCCTTGGGCTGAATCCTAAGTGAACCAGGGCTGAGTGACCAAATCTGGCGCTCAGCTTTTTAAAAATTACAGGGTCAATCCTGTGTGTGTGTGTGTTAGAATCTGCACATAGCAAATAAGCATTTTCTTAATTAAGATTTATAACACTGTTATACTTAGAGACATAAAAAAGGTAAGAATATAGGAGATGTGGCAAGTTTGGCACTTGTTTCATGAGGAACATAATATGAGCCATTGGTGCCACATAGCAGTGGAACAGAAGTGGATTTTGCTCACAGACAGGCCTGGGTTTGAAGTGTTATGGACCTTCCAGCCAGAGTTTGGTGCTCTGGCTGGGCCCCTCACTTCTCTGGGCCTCCTTTTCCAAGTTTACATATAAAATGCCCATCACATCAATCTTGCAAAGTTCCTGCAAAGGTCTGAGAGGAGGCATGGAAGGTGCCTCAAGAGACACACGGATGGAAGCCATCATTCTTTTCGTTATTATCGACACCATATGGAGATGAGTAAAACATTGCCACATCTCATCTCAAAATGCCAGAGAAAGGAGTGGGGAAGAGGCATACACAATCGCAGTTTGAGATGAAATGCGCTAAAAGGGTGGAGCAGAATTTTAGATACATTATTAAAAAAATTAGAGAAAAGGACCACTTGTATTCCTGTCAGCAACAGCAATTTCAATCTGGACACAGATGGTGTGGGTGAGAGAAGTTGGGGAGGAGGGTCAAGTGCAAAGGCCTCTCTTGGTCACAGCAAGAGAAGAGGTTCCCAGTGGCCAGCCCTTGGGGTGAAGCACGGGGGTGGCAGCAGCAAGGAGGAGACTGAGCAAGGTGTCATATGCTGGGCTAAGTTTGGATTTTATTCTGCAATAGACAGTGGAAAGCCGCTGAAGGATTTTAAACAGAGTAATAATGGCAAAATATGTGTCTGCAGGCTGAGGCCCTGCGGACAGGAGCGGGTGCCGGGAGGCCAGGGGCTACGCCTCGCGGGCAGCCCGGGTTCTCCGCCAAACCAGTCGCTGGCTCTGCTCCCTGCAGGGCTGTGCCCTCTCAGGACACCCGGGAGTCCTGTAGCGCTTGACAAGACATGTACAATCCTGAGATGCCACATCTATACAAATTAATGTAACAATGCATACTTTTATGATGGCTACATCTGAATTAGCACCAATTTCAAAGAAAATTGAAAGTAGAAAATTTTAAATTGTCTTTCTTCAAAATACACGAATTAAAAAGTTTTTATTTTTAGAGAGAGGGTAAGGGAGGAAGAGGGTGAGAAACATCAATGTGAGAGAGAAACACTGATTGGTTGCCTTCCATACACTAATGAGGGGGCTGAACCTGCAACCCAGGTATGTACCCTGATCGGGAATCAAACTGGGGACCTTTGGGTTCACAGGAAAATGCTCAACCAACTTAGCCACAGGGGCTGGGCCATTCAAAACACATGAACTTTTATTTATTCCTTCAACAACATGGTTTTGGGCACCCACTCTATGCCGGGCTCTGGGTGAAATGTGCAAGCTTCCTGCACTGAGAGAGCTGACATTCAGTGGAACCTGTTTGAGTACGTTCAGTGAAGCTCTGATACAGTCTTGCTGTGATACAACAATGGACCAGCTTGTGGATTAGTGAGCTGCCCTTCAGTGTTTGAATAAAGTCTGGGAGTCAGGCATGTGGGAGAAGGAGAGAGTACTGCTCTGGGTAGGATGCTGTAACAGATAACCTGTGTAAGATTCTACTATTCTAACAAAGAGAAGGAGGTCAAAACTTTACTACTGTGTTTAAAAATAATTGGTCACATATTATATACATACAATCGGGCTGTCCATTATATGTCAGGTGCTTGAGATACGAAAATGAAATTTATTTACTCATTCATTCAAAAAACAATTTTTGTTCATTGGACAAAATAAGGTCTCTGTCCTAATAAATCATACAGAAGGAGGCAGTTAATAAAGAAAAAAATGTGAGGTAGTGATATGGACTATGGAGAAAAATTAAGCAGAGTACGAGGGATGGCGGAGGTAGGGCCAAGGTCTGCTGTTTTGTATTGGGTGGTCAGAGAAGTCCTTTCCAATAAGATGACACATGAGCAGAGACATGAAAGAAATGAGTGAGCGTGTCTTCTGTGGATAGAGCATTCCAGGAAGCAGGGAAGCGAGTGTAAGGCCCTGAAGCTGATCATTCTGTGTCCATTTGAGGACTAGCAAAGAGATCGTGTGTTCGGAGTCAGGGCTACCACACATGGGTGTTCAGGATGCTGTCTGTACTGCATATGACGATTCATACTGGAGACCGATGTTAACTCACAGGAGTCTCGGCCTCCTGGCTGATTTCCTGCACAGCAGTGGAGAAGTCCCTCCCACAGGAACCCCCGCCAGCTCGCACGGCCATGGACACACTTGGCATGGCACTCACCAGGACCCCCACGTGCTCAGACCAATCTGAGGTGGCTCTTTCACTTGCCTGCTTCTCTTAGAGGACTGATTCCCAGTTCTGGCTCCTCTGGTCTCTGAACACAATTCTCTCACCTGCGGCTGCAGAGTAGATTCCTGGTGCAGGCCTAGGGTTGCTCAAGGGACCTACTAATGCTGTTGAGTGGCTGCCCATGGGCAAGCGTTCAGCATCTGCAGCTCTGTACCAGGAAAAAACTACTCTTGCTTCAAATCCTAGCTTAGTCTGGGTGAGACACATCCCCAGATTGTTCCTGACTCTCTACTAGTGCTTATAATATAGTACTGCACTTGTTTACTGGCTTGTCTGTTTCTCCTAGCAGATAATTAACGTTAAATGTCAAGGACATTCTCAAATACCAAAATATTTTTGGTTTCAACTTCTGTTGTTTATACATCTCATAGCTTCACTAAATCAGAGAGCACTTAAAGTTAACTTCACAATTTTCAACTGAGATGTGACACACCAAACCCCTGTCAGAATGTGGTGCCATAGGAAAACACACTAAATTCTCATGTATTGAAATAAAATGGCTAGTTTGTAAGAGAAACAACAAGTTATGGCAGAGAGAGGATGGGGTTTGGAGTCAGAGACATGAGTTTAAATACCAGCTCACTGGCAGTAAGATCTTTAGTGGGTAAACCCCTTTGTACTTTAGCTTCTTTTTGCTAAAACAGGAATAAGACTTCATAAAGTTGTGAAGATTAAATGAAAAACATGTGTTAAAACAGCTAGCCCATAGAAATGGTAAAAGTAATGTTATTTTCATTTATACACTAACTTCCTTTCACATTCATTCATTTGGCAAGTGCTTATTGGACACACACTGTGTCCTAGACTCTGGGGTGACAGAGAGAGAAGAACTGTACCTATGAGGTGAGGGGTGTTAACTAGACTTGTGCTGATCATGCCACAATACATACAAATACCCAATCATGTTGCATACCTGGAGCTAATATAATGTTACACGGTAACACAGAACTTAGGATGGAAGGGAGAAACTGAACGTGCAAGTGCCAAACGCCATCTGCATTCTAAAAGAAATACCCAG